AAGAAACAAACAGATAATAAGCCAAACCATTTAGCTATTGAGGTACAGGTCCGTTTCAGTGATAGGGATAATCCTGCGTGGATGTATTACTGAGATGGAATGATGGTGGGGGGGGCGGTCGCGTTCGAACTGAGAGCTGAAGGATGAAGAGACAACCTCACTGAGGAGTGAAGCAGGAAGAGTGTTTTAGGAAGAGGGAAGGAAGTCTCCAAGGTGAAAAAGAAGTTAGCTTTTCTCAGACTACTGGTAAGCTTGAATGGGAAGATATAAAATACACACTGAAACCCTCGCACGGTGCTGGTGGGGATGTAAAGTGATGTTAAACATGAATTAAAATGATTTAACTCAGCAATCCTAATGATATGCGCAGAAGAAATAAGAAACTATGCCTACGCAAAAATCTGAACAGGAATGTTTATAGAAGCATTATTCTATTTTGTTTAATAATTTTTTTAAAAGACAGAGTCTCACTTGGTCACCCAGGCTGGAGTGCAGTGGTGCCAACATGGCTCACTGCAGCCTTGACCTCCCAGGCTCAAGCAATCCTCCCATTTCAGTCCCCTGAGTAGCTGGGACTACAGGTGTGCACCACCACACTTGGCTAATTTTTGTATTTTTTGTAAGGATGGGGTTTTGATATGTTGCCCAGGCTGGTCTTGAACTCCTGAGCTCAAGCAATCCATCTACCTCAGCCTCCCAAAGTGCTGGGATTACAGGTGTGAGCCGCAGCACCTGGTCAGAAGCACTATTTTTTTTTTTTTTTTTTAAGAATAATAAGAAAAAGAATAAAGAGGAGGAAGAAAGAGAAAGAGGAAGAGGGAGAGAGAACGGGGGTATTGCTCTGCCGCCTGGGCTAGAATGCAGTCCAAACATGGGCATGCCTATAACTGTCCCCAATAATGGAGACATGAAAGAAAATGAGGGAAGAGAATAACAAACAAGGAGCCAACCAACATTTCATTCAAACTTCTAAGTTGATATGATGTGGTACTGATAAGAGTGTACACCCTGTGTAAAGTGGAGAGTTCTATAAATGTTAATTACGTTTACTTGTTCCAGATCTGAGTTCAAGTCCTGGATATCGTTATTAATTTTCTGTCTCATTGATCTGTCTAATATTAATGTTGAAGTCTCCCACTATTATTGTGTGGGAGTCTAAGTCTCTTTATAAGTCTTGTATGTCTGGGTATTCCTGTATTGGGTGCATGTATATTTAGGACCTTTAACTCTTCTTGTTGTTGCATTAATTCTTTTATCATTATATAATGTCCTTCTTTGCTTCTTTTGATCTTTGTTGCTTTAAATACTATTTTATCAGAGGCAAAAATTGTAACTTCTGCTTTTTATTTATTTATTTTTGCTCTCTGGTTGGTTGGTAAGTCTCTCTCCATCCCTTGTTTTGAGTCTTCGTGTATCCTTGAATGTGAGATGGGTCTGGATGCATCATACAGTTTCAGTTTTTTGTCCAAATTGCCTGTCTGTCTTTGAATTGAGGAATTTAGTCAATTTAAATTTAGAATTAATAATAATATATGTGAGTTTAATACTGTCATTTAATATTAGCTGGCTATTTTGCCCTTTAGTTGATGTAAATTCTTCATTATATTGATGTTTTTTACTTTTTGGTATTTTTTAGAAAGGCTGATACTGTTTGTTCCTTTCTATGTGTAGTGGTTCTTTCAGAAGCTCTTGTAAAGCAGGCCTGGTGGTGATGAAATCTCTGAGTGCTTGCTTGTTCACAAAAAACTTTATTTTTCCTTCACTTATGAAGCTTAGTTAGGCTGGATGTGAAATTCTTGGTTGAAAGTTCTTTTCTTTAAGGATGTTGAATATTGGTCCTCACTCTCTTCTGGCTTGTAGGATTTCTGCTGAGAGATCTGCTGTGAGTCTGATAGGCTTCCCTTTGTGGGTAACCTGACCTTTCTCTCTAGCTGCCCTTAGTATTTTCTCCTTCATTTCAACCCTGGTGAATCTGACGATTATGTGCCTTGGAGTTGCTCTTCTTGAGGAATATCTTTGTGGTGTTCTCTGTATTACCTGGAGCTGAATATTATCCTGCCTTACTAAGTTGGGAAAATTTTCCTGAATAATATCCTGAAGCATATTTTCCAGCTTGGATTCATTCTCTTCGTCACATTCAGGTACACCTATCAAGCGTAGATTAGGTCTTTTCACATAGTCCCATATTTCTTGGAGACTTTGCTCGTTCCTTTTTATCCTTTTTTCTCTAATCTTGTCTTCTTGTTTTATTTCATTGAGTTGGTCTTCGACCTCTGATATCCTTTCTTCTGCTTGATCAATTCGGCTGTTAAAACTTGTGCATACTTCACGTAGTTCTCGTATTGTGTTTTTCAGTTCCATCAATTCACTTATTTTCCTCTCTAAATTTTGTATTCTTGTTGACATTTCGTCAAACCTTTTTTCAAAGTTCTTAGTTTCTTTAGATTGTGTTAGCATAAGTTCTTTTAATTCACAGGAGTTTCTTATTATCCACATTTTGAAGCCTGCTTCTGTAATTGGAACACACTCGTTCTCCATCAAGCCTTGTTCCGTTGCTGATGAGGAACTGGGATCCCCTGCTGAGGGAGAGGCGTTCTGATCTTGGGTATTCTCAGCCTTTCTTGGCTGTTTTCTTCTCTTCGTTATAAATTTATCCATCTGTGGTCTTTATAATTACCGTCTTTGTAATTGGGTTTCTGAGTGGACGTCCAACTTACTGATTCTCAGCGCCGAAATCTGAGCAACCCACTGCACCGACCAAATCAGCGGCGTTAAGATTGATGGTGCTTTTCTGACTCTGCACCAAGAACCGACGCTCCGAGGCGCCGGCAAAACCGCCTCGCCGGTCACAAGAGTCGCGCTGGTGACCCGTGGGGCTCCTCCGCTGGGAATCTCCTGGTGCGTGAGCAACGAGAATTCATGTGAAGGTGTGGCGTCCTCTCGTTCTTTGCGCTTTCAGTGGGAGCTACAATCCCGAGCTGCTAGTGATCAGCTGTCTTGGATCTCTCTCCCGCCCCCAGCTCTATTGCATCTGGGAGCATCTTGGCTTGTGGCCGTCCCCTGCACCTCTGCCTTCCTCTTCACGTAGCCGCCCCCTGTGCCTGCATCCAGATTTCCCTCTTCCTGTAAGGACGCCGGTCCCTGGATTAGGCCCCCACCGTCCACTATGGATGGCCTCGTCCTAGCTTGATTGCCGGTGAAGCAAAGGCCCTATTTCCAAGTAAGGCCACATCCGGTGGACCTGAATTTGTGGGGCCATTAGTCACTGCAGAGCAAGCAGAGCGAGACAGGGCGTCAGGGTGGGCAGGTGGCCACAGGTGGCTGTCTGTCTTGCTGGTCCTTGCAAGAGTGAGGGTGGGGGCTGTTTGGGCAGCGGAGTGGGACCCAGGCGTCAGCGCAGCTCTCCGAGGAAGAACGGTGAGGTCACGGGCAGATCCTGGGGCTGTGACCCAAGCCCTGACGAACAGGGAAAGAGCTTCCTGGAGAGGCAGTGAACCTTCCAGAAGGCAGAGGAGTAGGCACCCGTGTGGACCTGGCAGCCTCGTCCCCCTGATGACCCCAGCCCTGCATGAATCAGCTCCCTGGTGGTGGCGAAGCCTGTGAGCTTGTGGTGGCTGCGGGGAATGGGGGCGGGGGTCGGTCCTCACGGGGGCCGCAGGGGCTGCAGTCCACCAGCCATCGCCAAGGGCCTTTCACTTTAGGGGGCATGGAGGGAGTGGTTGGCACCCTGTGTGGGGCAGCTCGAGTTGGAAGAGGCCCAGGCTAGGAGGAACCAGGATTCAGCCGCAGGCCGGGGCGTGGTGGCGGGCGGCTGCTGGGCTGTGCCGGCTGGGCATCCTCGCCTCGTGGTGGCGGGAGGCTGCTGGGCTGTGCCGGCTGGGCACCCTCACCTCCAGCCTCCCTCTGCTCTAGGTTTGTGGCTGTCCCACTCAGGGCGAGTCCCCGAGTGGCAGGGGCAGGCACCCTGCCAAGTGCTCTGCCAAGACCTCCCACGTGTGGAGACTGGTGATGCCTGTGGGAGCGGGGTGGAGATGGGGGCTAGGCAGGGGATGGCTCAGGGTGGCCTGAGGGGGCCGGGCTTCATGGGTTGCAAGGGGCTGGCAGCCTGGGGCAGCCTCTGGACTTGGGGAGGGCGATGGCGTGTCCTCTGGGTAGCTGGGGTCTCTCTGGCTGTGGGCACCCTGTTGGGCTGGCCAGGTCAGGCTGCCCATTCCCAGGAGGACCCTGCCATCTCCCAGGGGACCCTACCATTTTCTGCTTAGCCTTAGTGGCAGCCCCAGCTGGCCCCGTCTGAGCAGGAGCCAGCCTGTGTACCAAAGCTGCCCTGGCCACACTGCTCCCGGGAAGCCCTCCCTCCTGCCCGCCATGGCGTCTCCTCTCTGACTTGGGCCCACACAGGTCCTCCTGCTGCTGCCTGTCACCACTTCACCCGTCTCCCCAGCTCAGCTTTGTCCTCCTAGGTGTGGGGGGCAGTGGCCACGGCACCGTGTTTGGGGCCCCTACTGGGACTGTCTACTTCGCTGCTGGACTGAGAGCCTGGGGTCTGGACCGGCACCTCCCGTGCCTGGCACAGACCGTCTGGCCCCGGGCACTATGGGCCCACTTGGCTCATCCTGGAAGCCATCCTGGCTCCAGGGCCAGGCACTTCCAACTCCTTGAGACCGTCACGGAGCTGCCTGGCACTGAGAGCTGGGTGGGGGGTGAGGTGTGCGTCTCAATGCCAGCCTAGAGCCAGAAGCACTGTGAGGTGGGAGGGCACCAGGCAGAGGCGGAGGGATAGCGTGTCCTGGGTTGAGTGCAGCACGAGGCCACTGTCACCGGCTCCTGCCGCCTCCATGCTGCCCCCTTGTTTAGAGGAACCTGACTGGGTGTTGGCATCAGCCACCCCACCTGGGCACCGGGCACCCTGCCGATGCAGCCCATCTCCCCAGGGCTGCGGTGAGAGCCAAATGCAACCGGTCTCGCGACGGTCAGCACTTCTCTTCTTCCTTCCTTTCTAGAACCGTCTACTACCTGGGCTACAGGCAGATGTATACCACAGAGACCCGGACTGTGCTCAGATGCTGCCGAGGGTGGACGCAGCTGCCCGGCGAGGAGGGCTGCCTCTCGGGTGAGTCCCGCCTGCGCCTCCCTGCCCTCCCTCCCTCCACCCCAGAGGACTCAGCAGGGCGGTGAATTTGCGCCGGGGCTGGTGGGGAGCGCCCTTTCCCAACAGCACGAGAGACTCAGGGCCACCTGCTCAGCCACACCGCCAGCCAAAGGCTGCATGAAAGGCATCCGCCGAGGCTGGCAGAGCTGCCGGGAGAGAGCTGGGGCTGAGTGCGGTCAGTCCACGCGGCTGGCTCTGCCCGAGGATGGGAGCCTGCCTTTGGCAGGGTGTCTGAGGGTGTCCTGGGGCCACGCGTCAGTGTCTGTGGCTTCGTGCACCTCTGAGCCTTGTTCGGGGTTTACCCACCATACCACGATCACCACCCCTTCCCTTGCAGTCCCTCTCCCTGCCCTGTTTCCCTACACCACATTCTCCCAAGGCCAGTCTGGGCCGGGTGGCGGGCCTCAGCCTCAGTGGGTGCAGGAGCCCGTCTTTCTTCCCTCCCACTTGCTGGCATTCCGGCCTTGGTCATCTTATCTGCTGAATGGGACTTCAGCATCTGCTTCTTGGACGGGGTGGGGGGCCTGCAGAGAGGGGTCAACCCCATGCAGCCAGCACAACTTGAGAGGCCCGTGCTGCATACCACCTGACCAGGGCGGGTGCTGATGGGCTGCCGGGGCTCAGAGGTGGGGGCCCACGACTGGAAGCGGGTGGTCTGAGCTCAGTGGGTGACTCTCAAGCCTCTGCTTTGTAAAAGGAATGGGGCTCACAGCGACAGAGGTGTTTGGGAAGTTTTCGGGCAGGGGGACGGGAGCCCGGCAGGTGAAGCTGCCAGGGCAAAGGGGTCAGTGTCCCTCCCTGGAGGGACCGGCACAGAGGTCCCAGGACCCTGTCCTGCAGAGCTGGCCTCTCCTGAAACGGCTGTGTAGCATCCTGCCGGCGAGGCACAGGCTGCGCCGAGGGTGTGGCTGGGAGTCACGCACTCCCCACACATTGTTTTTCACTTTTTATGTTTATTTTTTAGAGGCAAGGTCTCATTCTGTCACCCAGGCTGGAGTGCAGTGGCGCCGTCACAGCTCACTGCAGCCTCGAAGTCCCAGGCTGAAGCCATCTTCCCCGGTCAGCCTCCCAAGTAGCTGGGACTGCAGGTGTGCACTGTGACGCCTGAATAATTCTGTATTTTTTACGGTCTCACCATGTTGCCCAGGCTGGTCTTGAACTCCTAGGCTCAAGTGATCCTTCCGCCTCGGCCTTCTAAAGTGCTGGGATTGCAGATGTGAGCCACTGTGTCCGGCCAACACTCCCTGCAGTGAGGGTGAAGGGGCGGTGGGCGCCCCCGGCTCCTGCGACGGGAGCAGGACCCAGCCCCAGGGGTCCTCTGGCAGGTAGTTTCCTGGAGCGGCAGGTTCTCTCCTCACACAGGAAGCATGTGGGCTGCAAACCGGGGATGGAGGTGCCTGTCCTGGCACGAACTCCAGCGGGAAAAGGGAAGAGAAGGAATGATAGAGATGTTTTTCCAGTAGAGGAAGTGGGTAATTCTCTCCAGGAAGGGAGGAGAGTTTGGAGGAAGAAGGAGGTGACTGGGGCGGACCAGCCGCCCCTCGGAGGGGGTTCCAGCCCCCACTGTCGCTGAGCCTGCAGCTCGCTGATGGTGCCTGAGCTGTGCCCTGTTTCTCTGCTCCTGTAGTCTGGGAGGAACAAAGGGGTCTTTTGAGCGGGGAGGGGGCAGACATCAAAGCCGAGGCCCCCCCGGGTTTCCGGGTTTCCGCTCTGAGGCGGGGGTTCTGGGGCCTGCCAAAGGGGACTCTAATAACGGGGTAAAACAATAAGCAGTCGGGGTGGGGGAGCGGGGAGAGGAAGTGGGGCCGCCAGCCCGTGTCCCCAGGGTTTACTGCAGGAAAACGGGCTTTTTGCTCCGAGGAGGGGACATGAAGGCACAGCTCCGTGGATGGCTGGGGTGGGGGTGGGGGTGCCCCGGGCCTGGGGTCCTAAGCGGGGCGGAGGTGGGGGTGCCCAGGGGCCTGGGGTCCAAGGCAGGGCGGGGGTGGAGAGCCCGGGCAAGGAGGGCAGCTGCAAGTAGAGGTGTGTGCAGCTGTGTTCTCCTGCTACCGTCCCCTTCGTGGGCAGTGACGGTCTCAGGGTCAGGCTCGAGGGCAGGGGCCAGGCCAGTCCCTCGAGGCAGGTTCAGCCTCTCCCGCTGTGGGGACCTCAGTGTCTCAATGGTCCCAGCAGGGCTTGGCAAACGTGCCCATCTCCCTCACCAGCCTAGCTCCAGGTGAGCTTTGGGCCTGCCCTGCCAGCTCCGTCTCCTTGTGCTGTGGCCAGGCACCGGCCGCCATCCCCATGTGGACCCTCGGGCCTTAGAAGAACGTGGTGGCTCTGCCCTGGCCTGGCTCTACTGGCTGGATTGGAGTGGAGGGCATCTTGGCTGAGACCCTCCCCAGGACAGCCTGGGCTGGGCCGTGTGGAGGGGCTGGTTCGTGTGGAGGGGCTGGGTTGAGGCTGGGGGCGAGGGGGTCGGGGAGGGTGGGGCTCCTGGCCGTCAGGTCAGCGGGGCGGGGGTGGGGTGATCCTGGCTGTCACGGCGGTGGGGGCGGGGGTGGGGTGGTCCTGGCCATCACGTTGGCGGGGTCCTCACGCAGATCCTGGACGTGGGCTTTGGCTCTGTTATTTGTTTTTAAAAATTCGTTTTTAGCACAGGATTGACTTTTATTTGCTTGTTTCATGGCCGAGGGAAGCCCTGTGATCTTCTCCGGCAGCTCCCTGTTCACCCCACGGCGGCATCCCAGCAAGGGAGGGGGTGGTGGGCAGCGGGTGGTTGGGAGTCAAGGTTTACAAGGGCTACGCCTGAGCCCCAGGCATTGCAGGGGTGCTGCCTGGCGTGTCCTGTGCCAGCTGCTGCTTCATTCGTTTGGTCATTCGATCGTTTGCTGGGTTTTGGCTCAGCTGCTGCTGAGCGCTGGGTGTTAGGGGACCCTGGTGGCAGGTGCTTGCCCACGTGGTGCTCCCGGCTGGGAGGCTGGCCTCGAGCAGATGCTTCTCGTGTGGCCAGGCTGTGACAAGGCCTGCAGAACTGAAGCTGGGCAGGCGAGGGCCAGCGGGGGCCCGCGGGATGGTGCTGCGGGCTGCAGGAGTGTCTGGGGGGCTGCCCCGGAGCCCCGACCGTCAGAGAGGAAGCAGAGAGGGAGCAGTGAGTCAGGGTCAGCGGGGGGCCTGGCCAAGGCTTTTGGACCCCCAGCTGCACGAGGCCTCCCGTCCAGGCAGGAAAGCCTGCAGGTTCTTCCTCAAGCTGCCTCTCTCGGGGGAGTGAGCTGCATGCTTGGACCCGCAAGCTCTCCTCCGGGGGCCACTCTGTGAGGATGTTGGGCTGGCCAGGGCTGGGGGCTTCTTTGGATCCCACAGGAGTGCCCTGGCAGGGCAGAATGGGTGGCCTCGGGGACCCTGGCCTGGCCTGAGCCAGGATGTGGAGCAAGTGTTTATTGATGGGCGGGACCCTGCCAATCCAAGCAGCCAAGAGTGGAAAACATGGCCCAGTCCTGGCTGGGTTCCCTGCAGCTCTCTTGTGAGTATGAGACCTTGGGAGCAGCCCCCACCAGCCCCCTGGCCGGTGCCCCCATCAGGCCCCAGGCTCCAGGACGTGGGTGTGACAATGCCCACCTCAAAAACCTGGGATTAAATGAGTCACTTCATGTGGAGCCTTTGCTTGGTGGCTGTATACAGTAGGCGCTCAAGCAATGCCAGCTCTTCTTGTTCTTTGAGGAGGAGGCCTGGGTGAAGCCTCTTGGCCTGTGGTGACTCCTGTTAGCAGTAGTGACAGTGGCAGTGGCACCCACGGTGATCGGGTGCCTCGGTCATGGTGTCACTGGCCAAGGGCTTGGGTGCAGGGCTTGTGGGCAGGGGTCCCTGGGGACCGAGCCCAGGGCCTTACCCCCTGCTCGGTGGTTCTGGAACGTCTCTTCCCGCCTCCCCATGGCCCAGCTGACGCTCTGCCTTCCTGCCCTGGGTGGGCCGAGCATTTCCAACGCCACGTTCCAGCTCTGCTGTGTGCTGCCCGTCTCTGCAGGCTCCTGGGAGAAGGGCGGGGCGTAGCTGCTGCTGGGGTCAGGGGCCTGTGTTGGGTGGGAGTCTCAGGGTCCCAGCAGGTGCTGAAGCCCCTCAGCTGAGAGTCGAACATGGCTGCTCCCGGTCTCCCCAGCCAGAGTGCCTGTGGACATTGCGGCTGCACCAGTCAGAGTCCTCCCTGCTCCCCAGCCCCGGGCACCGCTGTCCTTGTGAGTGGGAGGAAGGTGGTGGGGTGCATGGCCCAGCACAGGGCAGGCGCTCACTCTGGAGAGGGCCCTGGGGGTCAAGGCTTGGCTCTGCGTCCGCCCTTTCCTTTCTCACCCTTTGCCCCTCCCGTTTCTCCATTGCCCTCCAGCCCCTGCTGGCAGGGGAAGGGCAGGGGAGGCCCCTGAGCTGCTGAGGTTCCCCTCCCCGAGCCATTGGGAAATTTATTTGCTTCCGTGTGACCTGGACACCCGGCCACAGAGGACAGCGTCGGGGCCTGGGAGCCCGCCGTGTTTGTGTGGGAGCGAGGAGTGCGCTAATGCCCGTGAGAGACTGGCTGGAAGCTGCTAATCGCGTTATGATTTCCCTGAGAGCCACTGACTTAGTGCCGGATGGGGCGGCTGGGCCTCATGACCGGGGCTTCCCAAACCCGAGAGGCCCTGCGGACGGAGCCTGTGTCCTGGGTGCCGTGGGGCTTGGACCCGCTTCTCCTGCTGGGGGGTGTCCTTCCTGCTCCGGGATTCTCTGAATTCGACTTTTCTCCTGGTCCAGTGCCAGATTTTCCCCAGTCACTGCCGGGGTTTCGGCCGGAGTCTCCCTGATCCTGGCAGCCTCATGTACCTTGGGCTCCCCTCCTCCAAGCTGGGCTCCCAAAGTGGGTGAAGTGGCAGATGGGTGCCAGGCTGGAGCAGCTGACCCACCCGTCCTTCCACAGACACACCCTGGATGGACAGGTGGCGGAACGAGGCCCCCTC